AAGGAAACAGAAGGAAAGTTGGAGTTGTTTTAAAACAGAGCTGCTATATACGCTCGAGGTTTGCCATTTGTCGTAGACGCGAAATTGTCAGCATCGTAAAACGACGCGAGATCTCCCAAGCACTCGGCAGAGGTGGTTTACAAGAGAAACGGCAACTTGCAGCCCCTAGAATCAGTGTTTGCCATGTGCCCACCTGCGACACCTCAAATTTCAGTCGACCAGTGTGGCGAGTAACAGGTTTGCCCAATTTATGTGGTACATTGCTATAGGAGAAAGCAAGCATATATCCATGTACTATAGTGTAATGTAGTGGAGGTATGTTGCCAGAAGCGGCTTGAGCCTGGCAGACCAGGCGGGCCAGTGAATAACATAATCTTATGTTTTCTACGAGATACAGAATTAAGCGATGTATTATGAGCCAAACTACATGTAAAGAGTCGCTCAGGCGGAGTACAGTTAGTATAACATAGTATAGGCGGAGTTAGTATAGTATAGCGTTAGGTATAGAGTTATAGAGATATAGAGTGTATATAGAGATTAGAGATATAGAGTATAGGTATAGAGTTAGAGTTATAGTATAGAGCTAGTATAGTATAGTATAGTTAGTATAGTATAGTACAGTTAGTATAGGCGGAGTAGAGTATAGTATAGCAAGGGGTGCGTAGGAGACAGGTGAGCCTAATTACCTGACGTGTGCAGGCTGCACTAATTTTGTTTTTGTTTTTGTAAAGGAATTCGTCAACGCACATACAGACAACTGGGAACTACATAAAAATAAAGTACGCGAAGCAGAGAGACGCTAAATTGAATGTCAAATACGGAAACGACATAAATACCGCGATGACTTACTGACGCGTCGTGCGATAAACAGGAAGAGAAACGTCAGTGCATTGCGAAAGGGTCACAGCTGTCGGCCTGCGGACGTTGATTGATTGATTTGTGGGGTTTAACGTCCCAAAAGCACCACATGATTATGAGAGACGCCGTAGTGGAGGGCTCCGGAAATTTCGACCACCTGGGGGGTTCCTTAACGTGCACCCAAATCTGAGCACACGGGCTTACAGCACTTCCGCCTCCACCGGAAATGCAGCCGCCCCAGCCGGGATTCGAACCCACGACCTGTGGGTCAGCAGCCGAGTACCTTAGCCACTAGACCACCGTGGTGGGGCGCCTACGGACTTTAACGCAGAGAAAATAAAAAAAAAAGTCGCGTTTGCAAGAAAAACAGACATGTGTCCACCGCGATAAAAAAAAAAAAAAAACGGACATCGCGTTGTGACTATGTTCGAAAATACTCTCCCTGGGAGTACCTTTATTAAACGGTCATTATGAAAGAGTGTATAGATTAAACGCGGACGAAGGCAGTAATGGTCAGTAATGGCTATGATAAAACGGACTTGGTTACTGTGCCGGAAAAAAAACGACAAAAACAAACAAAATGTAATTGGGAAGGGATTCGTGGAAGTGATCGTTACAAAGATGGGTGAATGTTATAACACCAGAGCTTCTAATGAAGACGGGCAACCCTCAACAAGCACATGTTAAAAAAATATATTGCAATGGTCCAGTCAGTTTATTACCTTAGGGGCCCCCTTTCTTGGAAGGGGCATTACGTAAGGGGCGGGGTTTTATTAAAGTTAACAATAAGAAGTGAACGTAGTTTTTAGTGCTGAAGATGATCAATTATACGTAGTATACAATACGTAGTAGACGTAGTAATTCAACTCAAATTCTACTTTTCCCATTTACACGAGAGCGATGGAGGGTTTGTAGACGTAGGTGTGTGCAGAGTCGCCCCCCCCCCCCCCCCCCCCACTTCCACCCCAACCCTTTACGATTGTTGGAAATAAAAGTGTACTATGTAGCCACGAACAGGATAGACAGGGACAAGCCCTTACGTCTATACTGTTCGCGTCTCCATAGTACGCCCTTATTTCAAATAATAATGTATCGCCAGCTCACCCAATCAACCATATTGACCACCCTTTACGCTTGAGCTGCAGAAGGCAATGCCGCTCGGCGCGCTTTCAGATGACCAATTCTGTCCAGTCCGGCTGGCCGAAGGCGCGGCCAAGACCCAAGCTCTGGCCGCTACCTGATAAATGTGGGCTGGACTAATCACCTGGCCCCTGCCCCCCTTGATCCAAGCTAGGACTAAAAATAGGTTTGCCTCGAGTCTCCCCCATAGAGGGCAAAGTTTCAGCGCAGTAACATCCCCCCACTCCCCCCTCTCTTTCTTCATTACACTCTTCATTACATCAGTGTCGGTCCATCCCAATTGACATCACGCTTCACAATGTACTAACAAAAAAATATTTAAAAAAAAAATGAAGCGATGGCGTGCTTCGCACAATGTCCGGCCTTTCATTCCTGCTTTTTCGGGGAGTAAAGATGGCAAATGGGCAGTTCTTGGAAGGGAACATTAGAAAACTTCGGCCGTCATTGATCTTTTTTTAAAAAAAAAAGCGTAGGGAGAATTTTTTTTTTTTTTTTGGGGGGGGGGGGGGGGGCACCTTTTTCATTTGTGGCAGGTGCCGGGCAGACAAATGGTCGTTTTGCGCGGTGTATCACATGGCTACCTACTATCCCATCACGAAATCAAATTTCGCGGAGGGGAGCACGGACCCAGTGTGCTACTCGATGGCTACGCCACTGCCCCCAAAACATGTGTGGCTATAACAAAACGGCAGGTCCGCCTTCATCTAGAAAAGTATCTACAGCAAGGGCGTAGCAAGTATTTTTTTGGGAGGGGGGGGGGAGGGGGGCACCCTTTAGAAATGGTCATTTCTCACTCTCTATGCCAAGGCGACAAAAACTTCGGGGGGCGGGAAAGGGGGCACGGGATCGGAGTGGTACTTCCAGGCTACGTAAATGGCATGCTTCATAATCACATCGTGGTTTTGGGACGTAAAACCCCAAGGATTATTATTATTAAATATACTTAAAGAATGTTACTGAAATACATATATAGAAGAACACTTCTCAAGCTAACAGAAAAACAAATTAAAATAAATGAGAGTATCAGGCTGTTAAGGATAGATAGCAGAGTACAAAAATCAAGGCGTCAGCATCATCCAGTCGTGGCCTATTCGCGGAAATCTCAATTTCCACCCCAACCTTTTGGTCTAACCCCCCTCCCCCCCCCCCCATTTTTTTTTCTGTTGTGCACTTCGGGCATCTGGTGCGTTCAAGAAGCGAACAACGCTTACCGAAACGCCGTCCTCGGCGACACTACGTCTTCCAGAATTATTTCATCGTGATACAGAGCCTTTCAACGTATCATCCAGCCATTGTCGTCTTCCCAAAGGGCTTTCCTCGGCGACATTTCCTCTTTCCCGTTCACTGCGAATCCAAGCGTGAGCGTGGGGGCGATTCACACATGAAACAATTACACGTACTTCGCATTTGCGCGGCTCGACATGTTGGCACTCGTCATTCGCACGTGACTTCACGAACGGCGTCGACGGGCGAGGTCACTCCAGTGCGACCTCGCCGAATTCCGCTGAAACAGCGCACGAACGGCTCTTCTATAGAGCTAAAGGTAGGGACAACGTCGTTGAAGAAGTTGCACTCGATAAAGGGAAAGAACAATATCGGAAAAGATAGAGAAAGAAATAGACGAGAAACAAAATTAGTCAGGCCTGTTTCAGCTGATGCACACACCATATCGCAAGTATACGGTTGCCATCACGTTTTCTTTAAAGTTTCGCGGCCTTGTATGTCTGATGACCGCCCCCGCAGCTCAGTCGTAGAGCACCGGGCGCGTTATTCTAAAGTCCCTGCCGGTGGCAAGTTATTTTTTCATCCACTTCCCTTTTAGTGGCGAAGCCCCTTATGGCGTGGCTTGTGCGTCCCTCGTAGTACGTAACCACCAGTGGCACATACCCGAAATAGCGGTCCTTACAATGTCTGCTGCATGGGGGCACTTGTATATGATGAATACATGATGAAAAGATGTGAGACGGCTGTGCTTGGAGTTTTCTCTAGACATATGGACGGACGAACGGACTGACACACGCACGGACGAACAGACAGACGAATGAACAAACGGACGGATGCACCAAGGACCACACAGATAGGCGGACGCAAGAACGAATGGACAGACAGACTGACGAACGCTGCGCCCCACCAATAGTCATTCACTCCGTGGATATGCTGTGATTTTTTTTTTCACGTTTAAAAGACAATTAATTCTAATAACATCCCCCATACTTTTCTTCGCATCACTGTCTGCTAGTTCTCATATTAATATTATATCCACACACACACACACACGCGCGCGTGCAGTTTCTCACAGTTAGTACAGATCAATCCGAGACTAAAACTCCAATTGGAAACACGAGTTCGATTAGGAGCCCGTGGCTGCAACAAAAGACCCGTTACCCGATAAGCAAGCGATAGACCGATAAGAGAGCGCACTCCGATGCCCAAACACACACACAAAAAAATGGTTCCAGTGACTCAAAACGGCGTGATTCAAGTTTCTATCGTAACATGCCGCTGGGAACTCCAGGAGTGACCCGTTCTACAAGGCTACATTCGCTCGAGATCTCACAGTCATCACTCAGAATTTGCTTTACCCAGTGAAGCGACATCATATAATCACAAGTTCGTCCAGCCTGTAAAAAAAAGCGTGTTCTTTTTGTTCTTGCTTATTAAATTTGTGTGCACGTAGTTTACAATCAACAAGCCTCAATATAAAAAAATAAGAACTGACAGCTCCTGTAGGAAAATGAATTCTATAAATAAAACTTAGTCATAAGTTGATAGTCAAGGGTTTTCTCCTAGAACCTTATCTACACCAGGACAGAGTGTTATCTCGGCGAACTTCCTATCTTTAAGCAACGAGTCGGATTACGAGCAGAAGTAGGAAGAGCGCACAGGAAAAAAATAACTTCTTCAGGCAGGCAGCCTGAACAACACTTGTTCTGACGCAAGTCATTGTTGCTTTGTGCGACGAATAGCGGTAAAAAATGAGAAAACAAGAGAGTTACACGTACCGAGGATGAGTGAATACGTGACGATCCTCTTCATGATGCGTTTGCCCGTCGGCATGGTGATTGAACGGTAGTCCACGAAAAGCCTGCGCGTGTACCGAAAAAAAGCAAAACAAAATGTAATAAAGTAGATGCGCGAGCGGGAGCTGAAACGACTACTGTGCCCCCTCAACACTAACTGACTGCTCGTCCCGCTACCAGTACTCGCCGCGTCGTCTGCTACGAAAGCAGGAGTACCCACCGTGGCGCCCTCTGGCCACAGTCGACGACAACACTCTCTCGCCTACTTTAGGACAACCGAGCGGTCGACTTGTTGTTTCTTTTCTTTACTTTTAGAGTAGGAGCGCTACAAGTGCTACAAGGATATCGAAGCGCCGCTCAATCGGGACAAGATGAGAACTGGTTGGCTCGCGAAGCGAGCGATAACGGCTTGCGACGTAATACAGCCGTGACAACAGCCGTAACAGTCAAAACACAACGCAATCTTCTTACCCTGAGAAGGCACGTTCAAGCTGTCAGTCGTCAGAATTGCGACGAAAGCGTCGTCGGAAGTGAGGTTGGTGGCCTCGCTTCAGTGGCACGAGAAGACAGCGCGTTTTGGGGAGTCGGCGCTCGACCTGCGATCGTTTCCTCCTCACCCCGCCACCACCGACATGCACGCAGACCCATAATTGAACGCCGGGGAAACACAGCTGTTTGGCGGGCGGGAAACACGCCAGCGCTTCAAGACGGTCCGATCACTCACTCACTCACTCGCTCACCGTTGCTTCCTTCGTTCTACGACGCCACTGGGCGACTCCGCCGCTGCAATCGGTGAGGCGGTCATCGCACCGCGACAGGACGTTCGCTAGTTTCACTGCTTCAAGCTCTCGGCGTCACGATGACTTCAGACACTCGGTGTAGCGGCTACGAACGTACGATAAACTTCGCGAAAAGCCAACATTTCTTTTTCTCTCCGAGTCATTAGGCAATATAAAACGTAGTCGAAGAAATGAAAGAGGAAAAACCCCGCACGCGAGATACTTGCGGCGCTTTCGTGCCTCTCGTCTGCAAGAAGCGGTTTCGGCGTAGCCGCTTTCAGCCACTGGGTACGAAACTGCTGATCTACTTGGGGGCTTCTCGCGGCGGCCATCTTCAGCATTGCGTGACTACGTCGTCTCGCAACGTTGGTGCGACGTCATCTGTGACGCACACAGTCGCATCGCCGTCGCGCGGTGGCCGCCAGCGCCGCTCGGTGTTTTGCAAATAGGCGCGCTGCTGTCGCCTTTGTGGTCTGTTTTTGTCTAAGGACCTTACTTTGTGGTGGTGTTTTTTTGCCGCCCACACGAAGCGTTTTCGTTCGTCCCTCGGTTCACCGCGGGCCGAGCGTGTCGCGTTTTGCTTTGGTACCGAGAATCTGTCACCTTTCCGGGGTTAAAACTAATCGAGTGCTAATGTTGCTCAGCGCTGGCAGCTGTCCCCGCTCCTGACGGCGCGCTACTCGCATTTCAACTCGCGGCTTGTCACAAAATGCGCGCGAGAGAGCGTGGCAGTGCCCGTGTTGGGAGCATATGGGCATGCATAGAGGGAGTAAAAAAAGTGACAAAGGGAGGAGGAATCGTGTTCTACGCCCATGAAAGCGCTTCTGTGAGCATTTGGTTGGTTTGTGCAGTGCCTTGTTACTTTCCCTCTGACAAGGCGCTAATGGCGTGGAGCAGAATGACGTCACATCATTAGCGAGCGCCGGAGCTCCTGTTACACCTCGTTTGGTGTAGTACGCCAGGCAATGCGGCTTCGAAACTTGGAAACCGGGTGGAGTTCGTTAGTCGGTGGGGCGGGTCGAATGGCCTCTTTCATTTGATGCTTGTATCGTTCTTTCTAGCGTTTATTATTCATGCGCTGACAGTTTAAGCGGAAGCATGAAAATGAAAATTGGAAAACACAGAAATCGGAAACTTCCGTGCCGAAATGAAATTTTGCTATTTAGAAACTTGGTCTTGCACGTCAGGAGCAAATTAGTGATTGATTGACTGATTGATTGATTGTGTGAATGAATGAATGAATCTGCCGCTTGTTGGGAATAAATTTTTCATCTAGAAATCAATTTTCGGAAATAATTATTACAACATAGCACTATCTCGAAAAGCAAAGGCTCGTAATTTACCATTATTCGGTAATGAATGCTCCACCAAAATGCACTAAACAGCACACACACACTGAGCCGTAAAAAGTGAACAAGGCCGTTCTACTGTTACTGACTCTTAAACACGCTGCAAGAACTTGTGATAATGATTGTTTTAGCATATCCCAAATAGCACAACATTTTCATGCAAACAGGAAACTCCTGCTTGTATACTAAATATGCTCGAAAAGGAGCACGTAATCTAACTGTAATACCTACGTTTTGCGCACAGTCAAGTTTAAAAAAATTGTTTTGGTAATACCAATTCAATGAATTTCCCCACTTTTGTTAAATAACTCACGAAATAACGATAATTTATCTATAACAGAGTTGTTACTCAAGTGTTGTGTGTTTTTTTTTTTCGCATTTAGACGCTACGAATAAAACTAGAATCAGTCGAGCATTTTAAAAATAATTCCACCAATGCATGCCGCTCTTTCCACGCTGAAAGTCCCAGCTATGTTGGCGACTATTTCAAATGTATACGAAAAAAAAAGTGCTCATTTAGTTAATTTAAAACAGGGAATTATTAGAATATTTAGGAGAGAAAAACTTTATTGGTCACGTAGGAGGCTTCCAAATTTTCGCAGAATGCACTCTTAGTGTGTTTTGTAAGAAAAATTCTTTTTGTAGAGTATAGTTTTTTTTTTCGTTTAAATGCCAAATTTGTTTTGGCTATAAAGACGTTGGTGCGAGGTGTTCGAAGCTCAATATTATTAGTACAATTTTTCTGTCGTATATGCTTCCAGAAATTTCAAGATGCATGCTTTTTTCCTGACTGCATTCCTTCCGTTATATTATTACATTAAGTATGAGTGTTTGAGCAATCAATACTTACTCCATAAAAGGTCTGTGTTGGGTTGAAAATATTAAAGACCACACGGATGTTTCTAAACTTTGCGAGAAAAAAAAAGAAGTTTGGAAATCACGTGATTTCCAAATCTAGTCAAACCTAAATATACATATATAAAGACTTATCGGTTATAACGAAGTCAGTGATGAATTGGATTGCGCCATGTTTGGGAATGTATATTTACAGCGAATTATCGGATATAACGAAACCATTTTTACGTGAGATGCGACACTGTTACAACGATATCATACTGTCGCCTCACTTGTAATTAGTAGGAGTAACATTATTCCTACGTTTTTTTTTTGTTGTTAACTAACAAACTCAGTGTTCAGGCGATTAGAACACACATTATGGAAACACTCAACCACCGCTGAAAGTTTTTGGGCCACATGCAAGCGAACACAGGTTATGAAGGTATACTATTGCTGGGCATGCGGCAAAACGTTTTGCAGACGTCCCGTAGGTGTACGAGTGCGGCAAAGCTCAGATGTACGTCTGCGGCAAAGAAGCCATAAAACACGTTTTCTAATCCAAGGTGAATCACCACAGCCCTAGAAGAAAGAAGCCACTGCACGCAATAACCATGCGAAGGTCGTCTGGTCTGCAAAACAAAAGCAAATAAACAAAAAACTCGCCCGGCCCGCGTGAAACGCGCAGCACATTGACAGCGAAAGCTAGAAGAGTGGCCTTTCAGAGCCTTTTCAGAGTTACACGCTTTGGGTAACTGCTACAAACACACTGCTGGGTACCCACTACGCCATAAATAATCGCAATATTTGTGTAGTAGGCCAGCATTCACTATGCTATCCTTGGACATCCTTTGGAGAAGCGTAGTACCTGCTTAAAACTTGTAAAGAATTTTGTGTTGCATTCAGTGGCTGACGACGATGAAAGAACTACGCATGAAATGGGTATGCGCCACAGTTAATTGGTGATGAAGAACAAGTTTTCTGATGGATTGGAGCATTGGACGACCGAGTGGTTACGCAATTCGCATTGTGTGACGCCTGGCTGTTCCTTTGACGTTCTAAAACGCTTTATTACTCATATTAACAATATTCCTTTCCCGACATTAAGCCTGCTTAAGGCCATTTTAGAAACGAGCTCCAAGCACTGGCGTAGCTCAGTTTCAGAATACTGGGCCAGCACGCAGTGGACCCGTGTTCGAATCAAATGGTGTTTCTTTATTTCATTCGATACTGGTTACGGACACCGGCGGCGGCGGCGGACAATTACGGCGCCGCGTGTGATCGTTATTCTCGTCCCATAACAGCTATCGCTGTAAAAGTTTTGCAAATACGGTTTTCTATGTTCCTCAGCACAGAGACGTGCAAGTGGTACGGGTGCATACACTACAAGGCGCAGCGTTTACTATCCACTTGATTGGTTTACTATACATCTCGCGAACACTTTATCATTGACAAGTAGGCGAGAGCTGGCAAATATTGTTTATACTCCACGCTTCCGCACATGCTGTGGGATTGCCCGGCACAGTACAGACACACTAACGCCACGACCCTTTCGTCGAAGCTCCATGAGGCTCTTCCCGCTCTTGAGGACCAAACCTGGGCGACCCAGCATGCCCGTGAGGCGGCGTCGAGGCAAGCCCTTGACGTCCCCTCAAGGGTGGCCTAGGCCCGGCCACCTAAACCTGCTGGTTCCTTATAATAAAGTTTATTCCTTCTCCTCCTCCTTCTCCTCCTCCTTCTCCTCCTCCTTCTCCTCTTCCTCCTCCTCCACCGTGCAGCCAGCGTATCCGGGTCAATAGAGGTTACTACTTGCGTATGTGACAACTTAGCAAACGTTACTGCTCTTATCCGTTGTGGTATGTTGTGCTGTAATTGTTTCATGGGTTGTGAAAAATCCAGCAAAGCTACTATTTCCTTAACTATTTTGCGTTAGCTGTTTCGTGCTATATGTCACGCTGCAAACGTTTATGCGAGTAGTACAGTATGAAAATTGACATCTAAAACATCAAATACAAATCTGATTCCATGGCTATAGTGCCTCTTTACAACAGTCGCTCTGCCCAAAAGTAGGGTCATGCACTATATGCCCATAGGTTTGCTCTTAGCTAAAGTGAGTCACGCCACATAGAATCCATGATGTAAAGTATAGGCGCCTCAATATTCTGTGCATGGATGTACGCGTACATATAGTACGCTGATTTATTGTTCATCGGCGCCACTATGTACACACTAATATTTTAGGACGTCATTCTGGGGTGCATTTGGCGCGGTAATCTCAGTGAGAAAATAGCACACGGTGCTATATCTTTATTTGAGCTTGCGATGGTAATAACGTTGATAACTATGTATTACCCCTTCCCTATAGATAGTAACCGTAAGTTGTAGGTGTCAAATGGTGGTACAGTCAAGTACAGCCGCTGAGAAGTTGTTACTCTCAGGTTTACTGCATAAGTGTAATGAACGTTGTGACGAGCGCTTACAATCTCAAAGATAGTAAACACGATCAATTTTTAATAATATATGTCCCCTTTCCTTTTTTCGTTTTGAATTTCGGTATTACTAAGCTTCGTAGTACTGAAATACATGCATCTTTACCAGGCAACCGCAGTGGATGATCGTCCAAATAATTCTGTTCGGACTTTTTTTTCTTCTTATTTTCCAGACCAGACGCTTTCTTGAAAATGACGTTTGCGGAAGCAGTAATTTACTTGTAATCTTCTAAAACTATTTCGGGTGTTCACCATCCGTCTAAACAGCGTTCCCACGGAGTTTAGTATACTCATACCCTTTTTACACCGGGCGAACTTCGCCCGGTGCAGCAAGGTGTTGGAAACCTCGCTGCAGTCGCAAAGCACCCGTTTGTTGAGGCTCGAGTTACCATTGCCGCCATACACCATAAAAAAACACAAACATCAGATGCAAACAGTAAATTAAACAATAAAGAAAGTTTTTTTAACTGGCTATAGGGTGTTTTAATAGCATTCCATGTGGCAGTAATACATTTTTCAACGTGTTTGTACATAACACTGAAGGCTTAGGTAACGGTATACAGTCCTCGTCATGATAACATACATCAAGCAAGGGTCTATCTGCTTGGAGATCT